CATCTCTTTAGAACTGACAAGGGGAAGGGTGGTTCACCCATACATTTTGGGATGGGAAGGATTTTCAGACCCATGAGGGAAAGACTGAACTGTTGTGCTTTACCCGCCTCATTGAAACTGCAGGTAAGGCCCAATTCATTGAGACTTACTGATGAACAGGGTGGATAAAAATCAATGAAGTCTAATATATATAGACTCCTCATGTACACACACACGCACACACACACACATATATATATCAGATTTTTAAAATTTAAATCAGATGTTTTAATTTAAATTGGCTTTTTTAATAAAATGCTTTTTGAGGAAAAAGTTATCTAAATATAGTTTTCTATTTAAGATGCATTATAGTCCAAAGGTAGTCCGCCGTGAAATTAGGATTAGTTTTTAATTACATAGCATGAGGTTGTATATTCCTGCAATGTTTAATTTTTTTGGTAAATGAATTCCATCAATACATTCACAATGTCATGCTCTTCTACAAGTTTCTGTAAGATTACTGGGCAGTTTTTCTAGCTAGAAGATATTATCACAGAAGCTTGGTTTTACAGCTCTCAGAACAGTGAAATTGTATCTGCATTTTTGCCTTTTCTTCACAGCAAAAATGTTACAAAACAAACATACAACAAACATAATCTTGTTGTTCCTTTGCAAATCTATGTACCCAGAATCAACCCCTTAACTCTTAAGTGCTAAGTTTCAAAAAAAATTAAAGGAACAGATGATGGGAATGGAATACATCTGCACAAGAAGCTAATTATGAGGAGGGAGAGACAAGCCATAAGAACCATGGTGAAATCTTTTAAGCAGAATACTCCACAAGTCTTTGGGTCTTTTGTATATAGCCTGAGATTTATTGTATTATTCGTCCCCTGGAGGAGAAAACCTTTAGTGGCAGCAGGTTGTTAAAGAAACCTAGTTTGGGGATATTTTAATCAAGTTCCTCTACCTATGGGTAAAGCAGGCATGAGTGCAAATTATGTAGAAAACCATTATTTAAATCTAATCTGACTAGTAATTTTAATCAATTTTCTCTTGTCAAATCAAGTGCACCCTACTGCTGAGTTAACATATTCAGTGCAAGGCTATTTAGCATATTATGCTACTGATGAAGTTTGGGTCACAGTTGTTGGGTTGCATTTTTTTTTTTTCAAATATGATACTTATTTAATTGAATTCAATATGTAAATTACTACTGCCTTAGTACTGCCATCACTTTAGTATTACTACTACAATCCAATATATAAATTACTATCACTTAACACTGGAACATCTGAGGATTGCCTATATTGGTAAGAAATACTGTTGTACATTACAGTGTTTGTTGTCAAACTTATCCATTTAAACTATCATCATTCAAAGGACTTAGGACTCTGCACTGCATATAACTTTTGTTGCCTGTTATACCATTAGATAGCTAAGTTTTTCTATAATACAGAATCAGAGCATGAAGCACTCTATGAGTACTTGAGAAGCAGCCACAAAGAGGAAGGCCAGGATCTCTTCTCGATCATTCCAAAATGTAGGACATGGAATAATGGGCTCAAGGCACAGGATGCCAGAATCCAGCTAAATATCAAGAAAAAAATCCTGTTAGCACAGTTCAAAAATGGAACCAGTTACATAGGGAAGTTGTGGGCTCTCCCTACAGGCTTTCAAGATACAACTGGACAGCCATCTGAGAGGGTTGGGTTAACTTGGTGTTCTGCACTGAGCAGGGTGCTGGACCCTCTGGTCCCTTCCAATCCTATTATTTTATGATTCTGTGAATATTGGCTTAGACAAATGCAACAACTTGCAAGACATATTAATGAGAATGTCCTGATGCAGAAGTGGAAGTGGAAACTCTAGCTAAAAGCTTATATCCAAAGAATACATTGGTCAGTTGGTATCAGTATGTGAAATTCACATTATATTACATTGCATTTACGTCTCACCTTTTTTTCTTCTTGTAAGGAAGCCAAAGCAGCTTATATAGTTATTCTCCATTCCATTTTTATCTTCACAACCCTGTGAAATAGGTTAGGCTAAGAGTCTATGACTGGCACAAATTTTCACCCAGTGGGTTTTATGACTGAGTGTGGACTAGAACATTGATTTTCTAGATCCCCAGGCCAACACTCTAACCACTATACGACACTTACTCTTGCTCCTTTGTTTTTTGGCTTTCACCTTTACCTCCTTAGGACTGCCAGGTTGCAATGCTACAAAATTAGCAGAGGCCATGATAATTCTCCTTCTATGTAACACTTACGAGCACTGTTTTCCCTATCTGGTGCTCTCCAGATGTTGTAAACTTCAACTCCTATCTGCCCCAACAAACATGGTCAATAGTCAGGAATCCTGGGGTTTCACAAAAGCAGGACTTCAGATATTATGACATTATTATTCCCTAAGCAGTTGAAATGTTCATACCAGTTCAGCCAATCAGTAAAGATTTCAATCTGCCAGAAAAATAAATCATTGCTTTCCTTTCAGCACTCAACAAAGGGTAATTTCATTGTCATTACTAGATGAATCTTGTAAATGTGGATCCAGCTTTTTCCTCCAGATGCCAAGTGAAGCTTCATTTACCCATTCAGTGTGACTACACACTGCAATGGATTATCTTTTAAACAGGGCATTTCCTGAATGCATGCTGGTGACAAATAAAATGAATCAACAGGATGTTATCTAAGCAAAAGGAGGTAATTGTTTGGGAATTATACTAAGTGTTATGCAGTAGTCTAAGAGTCATCTGGAAGCCTGAAAGCATCAGACCCATGACATTATTTTCATTCCCTTCTCTAGACATCAGGTCTCACTAACATAAGTGGGGTTGTGTTATGCAATGTGATGATCACATTAAGTTTACAATTATATGGGGATTCTATCAAAAAGGGCTATTATTTCAGACAATCCCATCCATTCCAGTCTACTGAAGCTTCCATGCTCCATGAAAAGAAGGTTATGTTGTCATTTTCACATCCCTTTATTATCCTTCAACAGGCATAATTAATTCTAGGACTGGAAGTTGGAGTCACAAGTTACATTTCCCTCTTCATCTGCAAATGTTCATGGAGGTGCATAGGGCAAGGCAGTATCTTTCAGGTTCATCATCCAGTACAACATGGGTGTTCACAGCATAAAACAAGATAAGAATAGATTACTTTAACTGGAATAAGTTTGAGATTACAAGCTAAGAGATATACACAAAAGTGGTGTATATTGTTCCTGGAAATGCAGCAGCATTCATAAGAAATTTTGGTGAAAGAGTGACAGGTCTAAGGATTCAGGACAGAATAGTGAGTGTTTAAAAATAGAAAGCAAGACATGCCTAGTCTTGCCTTGTGCTTCCTGATCTCAGTTAAAGCTTAATTTATTTCCTATTTAAGATGCAGTCCTAAGCATGTTTACACACAAAAGCCCTACATCTTCCAGTACTCTCCCAGTCTAAACATGCATAGGATTGCATCCTAAATAACTAGTACAACACAGTGTCTGAGAGGCCTTACCTCATAATGTAACATGCAATCTAGTCTACATTCCCCCATTTCAAAATAGAAGTATAAGTCTCTGAAAGTGAAAAGTAGAGCTAAGTTCTGAAAGTGCATACCAATTTTGCATTTTCTTCCTCCGAGTTGAAACTGGATGAAGGGAGCTTAAACTGTTATTGGAAATCAAAACACAGAATTGTGCTATGAATTTCTGTCCAAAATTTAGTTCTGGTTTCCAGTGTTCAGTGGAATTCTCATTAAACAAACACATGAACAAATTGAAAGATGAATGGATGAGTTAAACCAAAAACCTCATTTCACAGGGCCAACAATAATATCTAGGGAATTATTTGAATCTGAGCATATTCAGGAAACAGCAATGAACTTGGATTGTCACTGAGATGACCAGAAGAGCTTTAGAATTCACTAATATAATTTTGTATGAAAGTGCACAAGATCTGTGGCATTTATATTTAAACTACAACCACTAGTTGCATTCTACATTTTGATCTAATAGTGAGGCAGGAATGAAAAACCAGAGAGTACTGTATCCTTGTTTATTCATTTTTAAAAACAACAACTCAGTTAATTTTTCTCTCAGTACTCAGAAGAACTTTGGAACTAAAGAATTCAACAAAAAGCTTTCATGCATTTAATATGATAATGATCACATACTTACACCACTTTTAAAAAAAAGTCTCACAGTCACACTGCTGCTATTCTCAATGCTAATCAACAGCTGCAACAGCTATCAGAAAAGTACTGCCTTCACTACTTTCTCCTGTAGGGGAAAGGGGCTGAAGGATCAGCAGGAACTTTCACACTATAGGACAGGAACACTGGCTGCAGTTCTGAGCACTTATTTCAGAACTGAGTGGAATTACTCTTGAGTATATTTGCACAGGGTCCGGTTGTTGCATAAATACATTTTATTTTCCATCTGAAACAAGGAAGAAAGGGATCTTCTGGGTCAAGACAAAAAAATACAGTACACCATGCCTCTGGATTTATATTAGCGTTTTAATAAACGTCGCTTAATCCAGAACATAAAACTTTTGAGAAGTTATCTTACATCAGAATCCTTGAAGTCTAAATAGTAATAATAATAATAATAATAATAATATAAAAGAAATATGATTAGAATCTGGCCCTCAGGACCTACCAACCCAATTGCTCTGGAGGCAATCACACTAAATCAAACGCGCTGCTTGAGTGTGGGTCGGCGACAGCGGTAGCAGTGATGAAGCTGAACATCGGGCAGGCATCCACCCACCCTGCTTTTCCAGCCAAAGCAGCATCCAGAGAAAGATCCCTTGCAAAAATAGCAGGGTAGGCGGAAGCTGCAGCGGTGGTGCCTATTGTGAAGGCAGGAGATGCAGCACCCTCCTGCTGGGCAAAGCGGCAACCGCAGGGCAGCTGCAGTTTAAGCAAAGCGGGCGGGCGGGAGCGAGAAGTGAATAACCACCCCTCTCACCCCCGGTCCCAACAACGCACTACTTTCTGGCAGCCCCCTTGATGTCTGACCTGCTGGCCGAGGAGCTGCACTCAGGCTCCGGCTCCTCCATGGCTCTGGCGACGGAGTCTCTCATGCGTGCACCAATGCGAGCATAGCGTCAGCGGGAGCTCTTGCGCAGCCCAGTCCGACGAGAAGGAGGGACGGAGCGCGCGCGGGGTCCAGAAACCGAGGCTGGCCAAAGTGTCACTCACACGACCCGGCTGCAGAGACCCGGCCGCAAAGAGCCAGCCGTGTAGCCGCCATCTTGAAAAGAGGCTCCGAGAGGAGCGAAGCCGGGAGCATCGGTCGTACGGAGAGCGTCTAGGGACAAAGCCCGCCACAGGCGTTCTCGTTTGCTTCTGTTGTTTAGAGACTGCAATGGAGCGCCACCCGGAAGGAAAGAAAGGAGCGGAGCAGAACGTTCTGTCCACCAGCCGCCGCCGCAGCCGCGATTACTGCCCTGGAAGGGAGAGGAGGGGAGGGATGAAGCGAGATAGGCAGACCGGCTGTGGGAGGAATGTAACTTTACTCCGTTCGAGATTCCTCTTCCTTAGAGGTCCATGATTCAACCCCATCACGCGTAATTTCTACAAAATTAATGCTATTACAGCATCAGTGCTTCGCGGGCTGACTGCTAGTCTCCAGACGGAGAGAAAGCGCTCTGCGCTCTGCGCTCTGTCTCAGCGATAAGGGGGGAATTCAGCCCTACAACAGTGGGATTCAGGAGGCGTGTTAGAGACGGGGACGCCTTTAGTTTTCTTTTGCTTTAACAGTGTTGGTCGCAATTTCTTTTCGAACCGCTGCAGCAGGAGAACATACAGGAGACACGTGTTTACTCCGACGTCTGTCTCATGGATTTCAGTGTGATTTCCTTACTACGGCTGCAACCGTATTCGCACTTACTTGAGAGTAATCCGCACTGAACATCGAGGGGCTTACTTTTGATTAAAGCGCAGTTCCGCTGTGAATGCCTGTAAGAGGGTTGTGACTGCATCACCTCTGAAGCTCGATATGGAAAGTTCCTAGCGCTACCAGTTTGAAGGAGCCTGCAATTATTCTGCTTGCTCTACTTAGATTTTTTGCAGTAAAGAAAGCAGGATTGGGGAGGATTGTGAGTGGGAATCGACAACGTCTGAGTCCGCCCCCGCCCCCCGCCCGTTCTGTGAATGTGGCAGTGTGATCGCGTGATAAACATATAAATACTGTGGACAAATCCATCTTTCCTCAACTGATTTTGGTTTTCATTGCTCACTAATAAAGCTTTTATCATGCAACTGCCCTGCCTCTTCATAGCATCTTACAGGAGCTAGGATGTCCAGCCAAGGTCATCTTCATATCATCTGCATCATGTAACTTTATGTTTTCTCACCACTTTTTTCCCCTTTTCCTCAGAAAATTCTGAGAGGAAAAAACAGGATAGCTGTGCCATGTCTTTTAACTAATAGTTCTAGGAACCTCCAATCCAGAACCACCCTTCAGGGAAAGAAAAAAGTCAGAAGGAGGACTGGGAAAAACACAAGATGAAGATGACATCCTTGAGGGCCATGTAAAACCTTGTGCCCTTCTAAAAATTTCACGTTGGCCATTTGACACTCAATATTTTTTATATACTTGATTTAAAACAAAGACATGTAAGCAGTCCTGATCTCCCCTTGGTACAGATGGCCCAGAAAAATACTGCGAAAATGCTTGCCAGCCATATCTGTGTTCAGCATACAATATACTTCCTTATGTTGGAGTATGGATCCATGTGTCCCTGATGGATTGGGACTGCTTGTGTGCACATTAACAAAAGAATGTGAATCCACCTCACAGTTGTTATGCAGAACAAATGAATCCAAACGGCTTCAGAATGCTTGACTGATCATACATCTTTTCCATTTTTCTCTGAATACTACACAAATAGATATGAGGAAAGGAAAATCAAGGATGGGGATGGTAGTAACCATCTGATAAAAAATCAAAGAATAGGAAATCCAATGTAAAAAATGTAAGACTTTTTTCAGTCAGTAATTCTGAGTAAATTTTGCCTATTGTACTGAATTTTCTCAAAACACCATTCTGTATTCATCATAAGAATTGCTCTGCTCTCTCTTTCTCTCAAAATTTATCCAAGTGGCAAACACTTTGACTTTGTCCTCTACCCATTTATAAATTAGAAATATTTAGCTGGCAGAGTAATTATTAAGTCCATTTTTCATCTTCAGATAGCTTTTATTTTCAAGTGGCAGCATCATAAACCATCTGTGCAGTAGTACGGCAGATGGTGTCAGATTGTGAAATCTTTTGGTTAGTAACATTAAGTTTGCAATCCTATGTCTGCTTCATTGGAAGAAAACTTCACTGCCTTCAGTTGGACTTAACCTCCAAGTAATTATGTATAATTCAGGTATAGTGCTTACACAAACCTGCAACTCCATCAGTGGTCTCAGCCTTAGCACTTGTTATTTATTTGTCAACACAATAATTCCCATTTTACAAAAGAGCACCAAGCCTGAGGAATGGGTATCTTCTAATGTTGTCACAAAATGTGGATTTGAACCTACTTGCTCTGTCCAGGTCTATATAATATTTACACATTATACTCCCACAGACATATTGTGGAGATGTAGTAACAGTGGAGAGAAATGAAGCAGGCACAGGAGCTGTAGGAAATCCTTAATCACAACAAGAAAACAGTGAAAGCAGCACTGATTATAATGACTGATCCAAGTGAAGGAGACTAAGCCAGCTGTTCTTCCTTCTGGGACTAGAAGAATTGGATTCAGAGACTCTACTAGCATTGTTTAGAAGGGTACAGGGACTATGCCAGCACCAGCCACTGTTCCCACAATGAGAAACCAGTTTTAGATGAAAGAGGTTGAATTAATGAGATCAAACTGTGATGAAGGTGGTTGGGAGTGAAGGGTGCAGTAGACCTTGTTCTTATTGGGGTATAGAACTTAGTGCAGGACAGGTTGCCTTTTTGAATCTGCAGACACATTGGGCATTTTGAGACGCTTTTTCTGGGCACCATCCTCATTTCCTAAGAATGTCTCTGAGCTCCAACATACAGGCTAGAGCCATTCATGGAAAACAAAGATGACAAGCAAGTGGAGACACAAATACTGCTTTGAAGTGATTTTAGCTGTCAGAAAAGAAGACACCTGGAAAATGTTGGGGGCCAAGGAAAGTGTCCAGGGGCACCACGGTGCTTGCTACCACCACTTTGCTTAAAGTAGGGGTAGGATTCTGAAAAGAAGACAGAAGGTGGTGGTGCTTTTGCTATTGTGGATAGGGCTGATAATCAAAGCCATTACACAAGGCTCATCTGGCCATATACATGCTTGTGCAAAAGCTGTGCCAGCCCCATCTGCTGTCATGCTTCTCTAATCCATCACCATATTGTTTGTGCAGTGGGATGTGGCAAGTTAATCTCTCAGAATAACTGCTTTGTACAGATGAGTTAGGCAGTGGTTAACTGCAAGGCTGAATAATGCAATTTTATGCCAACCCAAATCTGAAAAAATATCCCACTTATTATGATGTCTTATTCATAGCAGTTATCTTCTAATGACAACCCAGAACCAGATTCAGTTATGAAAGATGGCACATTCACTGAAGAGTTTTAATAATTGCTGCAATTAATTTGGTGTAAGAACCTAAAAGTACCATTTTTAAAAAGCCAGATTTTCTTCAAGTTGCTCTAGGTGGAGACAGGCCACACTGGATTCAGGGAAAGCCACTGGCCCAAGGGCACCCAGTAAACTTCATAGCTGAGTGGAGACTTGAACCCAGTTCTCCTTGGTCAACATCCAGCTTTGTAGCCTCTACCCTTATTGCCTCCTATTCTATTTCTGATCTTCAGGGGAGTTTATGAAGCCAAACAACAACAGCCAGACACAGGAGGGAGGCATTGGCAATCTCAGTAGGAACAGAAAGAAACTTTTAGGGGAAAAATCTTAAAGGAGGGAACTCCAAAACTGCCCAGTGAGAACATGCTCAGAGGGCACAGAACACTGACAGGTGTGGGTGCAGATGACAGACAAAATGGAATGGAGTGGAGTGGCTGGGAAATGATGGCGGAATAGACAGATATAAAAAGGAGAGAGGAAATCATCTAATTATCTGAACAGGTCATTTTCTTGTTTGCAATGAAAATCTAAATGTCTCTGAGGATGCAAATAAGAATTGCCAATAGACATCAGTGGAGAAATTAAGAATATTAAAATAATTGGGATTGTTCACTGTACCTCGCCAACCAAAACATGACATCAAATAAAAAAGAAGGGTTCCTGCTTTTTCTAATTTAGTTCTTGTTTAATACAGAACATTTTAAAAAATAACTCTGCTAATGCAACTTCTAAAGCAAATGCAGTTAGTTGTCTCCATATTGAAGACTGGAAGGCACTGTGGCTGGGAAAAAGTAACTTACAACTGTCCTTCAGTGTCATTTACAGTACTACAAGTAATGTTCAGAATAGTGTATAATTTTGCAGTGCTGTCCAGAGGTATTAGACCTCTGCGTTAGATCACTAATTAGTATTAGATCCCCATCCCTCTTAGCTGAAGCCAAGAGAGTAACTTAGATTAACCTTTCCACTGCTGGTTGAGCAGGGAAAGTAGCATACAACAACCATGCAATACAGTTCATTTACACCCCCACTGTGGGTTCAAGGTCTGCACCCAAACCAAGTAGATTGTAGCAGCATAACAACATAGTCCACTGTGAGTGGAGCACCTCAAATCGCCCCCTCCCCAACATACCTCCACCCAAGCCAAAGCAAGCGCTTGGTAATACGGATAATGTTCTGCAGATTTTCAGCTAGATGTTCTGCTGATTTTCACACAAGCTGGTTGCATTTTTGAACATTTTTAGTTGCTCAAAACTAAAAACAAATCTTCTGAATCTGATGTAAGACGCAAGCTAATAGCAGGACCTCCTGTCTTTGATGCTAACTCTAGATAGATAGATGCTAACTCTAGTTTTCAACCCACTTAGCCATAAGCTCAAGTAATAGTCAAGAGGGGACTTAGCCGAATGGAGCACCCACTTTGCATACAGTGGGTCCCAAGTCCAAAACCCGGCATTTCCAGACTGGGCTAAGAAAGAATCCCGCCTGAAACCACAGAGAGCCTTGCTGCCTGCCAGTGTCAACACTCCTAGGATAAATGAGCCAAGGGTCTGACTCGTATAAGACAGCTTCCCATAGTGTTTCTTTTGGGAGTTCTCACTTGTCTCCTCTATTTCCCATGTTCAGAAGCCAGTGTAGTTCGTTATGTTGCCAAAATGGCACCATCCACACACAAGGATCAGCAGGCATGGCTGGGAGAAACTGCAAAGTTTGCAGAAACACAAGCATCATTGGCGGGGAGGGGGCGGGGAATCTTTAAGGCTGCAATCCTGTGTTTGGGAATTGGAGATTTTCACTGTCAAGGCATGTGCAGGATTACATCCTAAGGAAAGGAATCCTTTCCCTG